AGACTTGCACAGGTCAGCTGTGTTTTAAAAGGTTTAAAAATGGCGAATGTAACATATCCGACAAGCCTCGTTCTGGAAGGCGACCTACTCTGAATGAAGAACTTTTGAAATTTAAAACTGAATTGAATCCAGGTCAGATTACCAGAGTTTAAACGCAATAATAATAATAATAATAATAATAATAATAATGTGTCTTGTCCAAGAACATCTCCATGAAATTGGAAAAAAATTGCATACATGGGATTTGGATTCTTCATTAAATTTCACCTGAAAGCCGAACACAACGTTTCAACATCTGCAGCAGTCTTTTACCCAGGTATGTAAACCTTTCATTTCTGCACCGCATTGTTAAAAGTGATGAAAAATGGGTTCTGCATGTTAACAAAAACACGAAAAAGAATATGGTCATCACAAAATGAGAAACCAGTGCCAACACAAAAACCAGGACTCCATCCACAGAAATTATTTTTTTATGCTTACTGGAATATTAACAATGCCGTCCATTAGGAACAACTGAACCATGGAAGGCCCATCACTACAGTGATTCACTGCCAGCAACATGATCGGGTAAACGAAGTACTACCTTAAAAATATCCTGCTTCAGTAAGCAGTGAAATTGTTATTATCCAGCATGAGTCTGCCAGGACACAATCAGCAAAACACACCCACGAAAAGAAATAAGATCTTTAAGATGAAATATTCTTCTGTCATCTATACTCACCAAATTTAGCACCTGCAGATTTTTCGGTTACTAGAATATTTCATAAGCGGCTGAACATTCAGAAACAAAACTATTGCTCAAGAAAAGACTTTTAAACTATGTTTTTCGGGGACGAATTCAGATTTATTTAAATTTTCAGCCTCCATGGGGTTGCAGTCGTTGAAAATGAAGGTAACTAATTTGTTTATAAATAATATTTAAATAAATGTAATTTACATTCGTTTGTTATTCCTTTCTGGTAAAACGTAATTACTTTCCGAAAAGCTCTAATATTTAAACCAAAATCTCCCATTTTTTACATTCATAATCTATAAGTAGAAAACATGTTAAACCCAGTCGTATGTATACGAGTTGGGATTTAGGAAATATAGTTTACTTCTGGTACAAGCTATGACGTACACAGTGAGGATCAAACTCATTAGTCTTTATTAAGGATAGGTCTCGTTAACCATTACTATCGCATGTATACAGATTTTCGTTGGCCTGGAAATACTGAAAGATAGAAAGAGTGGATGGGGAAACAGAGAGAAAGAAAGAATACTGTTAGAGGGGGAAAGTAAACTCATGAAAGAGTGACAGGCAGAGTAAAAAGAAGGAGAGGGATAGAATAAAAAAGAGACAGTAGAGCAAAATCGAGAGAAACAAGAAATAGAAAGGCAAAGGAAGGAAGGAAGGAAGAAAAAAAAACAAAAAAAAAAAAAAAAAAGAAAAGGAAAAAGAAAAAAAGAAAGGAAAAGGAAAAAGAAAAAAGAAAGAAAGGAAAAGGAAAAAAGAAAAAGAAAAAAAAAGAAAAAGGAAAAGAAGAAAAGGAAAAAGAAAAGAAAAGAAAGAAAAAGAAAAGGAAAAAAAGGAAAAAGAAAAAAGAAAAGAAAGGAAAAGAAAAAAGAAAGAAAGGAAAAAGAAAGAAAGAAAGGAAAAAAAAAAAGAAAGGAAAAAGAAAGGAAAAGAAAAAAAAGAAAAAAGAAAGAAAGAAAAAAAAAGAAAAGAAAGGAAAGAAAAAGAAAGAAAGAAAGGAAAAAGAAAGAAAGAAAGGAAAAAGAAAGAAAGAAAGGAAAAAGAAAGAAAGAAAGAAAGAAAGGAAAAAGAAAGAAGTGAAGGGGTAAAGAAATGACGAGGGAAAGAAAGGAAAGAAAATCAGGAAAAATAGAGAAAGAAAAGCAGAAAAAAGAGGAGAAAATGATAATGGAAAAAGGAAGAAAAGGAAAGAAAATAATTATCAAGAGAAGAGAGAATGATGACAAAAAAGATAAAGAAAAGAAAGGGAAAACAAGGAGGGGGGAAATGATAGTCAGGATGAAAGACAGACATCAGAAGTAAATTAAAACTAGACTTGTCGTTTGTTTTTGTTTTTTTGTAAAATCCGCCCCCACCAGAAAAAAAAAATTTAAAACTAGCAGTTGACCCCTAAATTAAAACAAAAATCCTAACATATCTGACCTATGCTAACGTCTCCCAGGTAAACCACGAATTTTCCCTTCACTTTTCTAAAAACAATATAGATTGGTTTGGGGGAAAAACGTCTTTGATGCTCTTCCTACAGTTTTTGGATTTTTTTTTTTTGGTCTTTTTAAATAAAATACATTACTTTACAATTTGCTTAAAAATCTTACAAATAATACAATGTCAGAAGATGTTATAAAAGAACCTCTTTTTCTCTCTTTCTCTCTCTCTCTCTCTCTCGTATATATAAAAGAAATTAATGGACTTTATTTTAAATTATAAAAAACATTATTTCCTATTACTTAAAAGATTATATTTTAATGGATACACGTGCATGTGTAGACGTCTTCCAGTGTGAATTACATATTCTGGCCTGTGCATCCGATAGTCATAATAGAGAATATTGGCCCTTCGGCAGTGTTCGAACCTACGTACAGCTTTATAAAGGAAACAGCCGCTGTGGCCGAGCAGTCTAAATTACACCAGGTCAGATGGTGCTTCCCATCATACAAAGTAGGGCAGAGGACGTAATCTTTTTACTAAGACTCCAATGCACAAGCCGGTAGTGGTAATTCACACTGATTTTTAAAAAAATAAAGAAATAAAAATAAAACAGAACGTCTATTTAAACACGTGTATCCTCTAAAATATAACGTTTAAAGCAATTATATGTGTGTGTGATGTGTATTTATGTTCGATGACATACCAGTAAATATAATTTTAGTCTTTTATAGAGTGCGCAAAAGTAGGTATACAGTAATGAAAAACAAATTAATGAATCCTACTTACTGTATATCTACTTTTGCAGCCCCCTGTTTAATAATTCCGTTGTTATCCCCAATATTAGCATTCGACTTTAAGTATAAATATTAAGTACTTCCAAAATGAATGGACGTAATTTTTGATTGAACCTCTCCTTTGGTCAATAAGTGTTAAAGCTGTTTTTATAGGGGTGTTTTTGTATATTCCACCCCCATTGACAATTCAAAATTTTAGTTCATAGGATTTAAAAGAAATAAAAGAATGAATACGTATGTATGTGGGAGGGCATTGATGTCAAGACTAAATGATGACAGTCTATTTCATGCTTGAACCTAGACTCATGGTCTGATTGCGTTCAAACAGATTGTCGCCGCTCGCTGTTGGCATCAATGTCCACACTTCTTGTATTTACACACGCTCTAACCCGGATATTAAGCACATTTACGCTAAAAATATAGCATACCTTAAAACTATATACATTATATATTTATAAATTTCCAAGAGGGTAGAATCCAGGTAGAACACAATGTCCAGGACAGAGTAAGAATATAATATAAAAGGCTTAAACACTAATATTCCATGGTTATAATTTATTACATTGGAATCGTAATTACGATCCAAATCATCAGACCTAAAAATTCAAAAAGAAATCGGAAAATATAACTCCGGGTAATTTTATAGGTCTGATGATTTGAATGATTACGATTGCAATGTAATAAATTATAACTATGGAATATCAGTGTTTGAGCCTTTTATATTATATTATATATATATATATTATATATATATATATATATATATATATATATATATATAGGTGTGTGAAAAATCCTCGATTCGACCCACTTCCCAAAATCTGACCAAATAATCAAACATCAGAATTTTTCTTAGAAATCCCTGCTTGGTTGGGTTCAAACGTTTTCTGCATACCTTCATAGATATAGTTTTTCTATTAGCGAATTTTGTCTTTGACGACAGGATTTTTTTTCTTTTTTCATAATTTATTTTTTCTTGTAGTTTTTTAAAAAATAAAATACCTGTGTGGAGGGTGTTGGTGTAGAAAGGGGAAAACATGGCAGCATTGAAGGATTGAGAATACTTTCGGAATTTAAAAAAAAAAAAAAAAAAAAAAAGAGTGGAAAAAAGATCATCAATATTTATAATAATAATAATAATAGTAATAATTATTATAACATTATTAATAATAATAATGATATTAAATGTCGTGGTGGTAACTTTGGATAATTTCCCTTTATACGTGATTTTATTTTTTATTTTTTTTTTTTATTTTATTTCTTTTTTTTTTTTTTTTTCATCTTCGATAAGGCCTTTAATAGCCGGATGATAAATAAAAAAATTTAAAAAAAAAAAAGAAAAGAAAAGTAAATCCATTTTCAGTCATTGAAAAAAAAAATCTTTTTTAAGTGATTGCATGGCCGGTATCGTCATTTCAATCGGGTTTCAAACCCGATTCAAATATGTCATTTTTTAAAACTTTCTCTCCCTTGAAAGTTTGTCAAATTCATTTATATTTATATATGAATATATACGCAAAACAAGTATACAAACACATGCACACATTATTATAGGGTTTTGTTTTGTTTTCTTTTGTTTCGTATGTGTGTGTATGTTTGTGTTTTCATGAGTCTGTATGTATACTGTATGGTCGCAATCGTATTTTCCTCCAATTTCACTTATCTCGTGTTTAGGACACTTTCGATTTCAGTGTCTATTCTTAAAAAACATTCTCTCTATTGTTCTTGTAAAATCGTCTTTTTTGAAATTGTTTTATTCTTTGCTTCCTGCGGCAGCAAAAGATATATATTTTCGTATGTTTTCGTTCGTTTCTTTCATTTTATTTTCTCTCTCTCGCTCTCTCTCCAAAACGGTAAAATCTTTGATTATATCATTTTAATTGTTGCGAATATCGGATTTTTTTTTTATATTTCTAAATTCTTTTTTGTTGTTTTTTTTTTTATTTCTTAATTCTGTGATGCTCTTGTTACTGTTGTCCAAGTTTGTTTGTTTTTTTTCTTTGCTTCGATTTGAAAAATTAATTCTCCGTTTCGTAATTTGTTCAAACCACGGCTGACTGATTTCGAGGCATGAAAAACCTACAGTAAAAACGTTTCCACGAATTAAGCGTTTTACCAGTCCATATCCAAACGCCTGAAGTGATGCCGACGATAATAGTCATTAGATACTTTATCATGAAAACGGTGAAATCCGGCCAGGGTCGCGTGGGGTCACCCGTGTGAGGGCAAGGAAAGAAGTAGGTGATGCAAACTCGGGAATGCCATGATACCATCCACTGATCGCGGAACGACTGTTCGTAGAATAGACAAGCAATCACGATGGTAGCTGGCACAGTGTAAAGAACGGAGAAAATACCAATTCTAACCATCAACTTCTCCAGTTTATCAGTTTTGGTGCCGTCACTTTTCATGATAGTCCGTATGCGGAATAGCGACACGAACCCGGCTAGCAGGAAAGTGGTGCCAATGATGAGGTAGACCACAAGGGGCGCCAACACAAAGCCTCTGAGAGCGTCGACATCAAAGATTCCGGTAAAACAAACTCCACTAAGAACATCGCCGTCCACCTGACCCATAGCAAGGATTGCGATGGTTTTTATAGCCGGTACAGCCCAAGCGGCCAAATGGAAATACTGTGAATTTGCCTCGATGGCTTCGTGGCCCCATTTCATACCAGCGGCGAGAAACCATGTTAACGTTAAGATGACCCACCATATTGAGCTAGCCATACTGAAAAAATAGAGCATCATAAAAAGTATAGTACAGCCTTCTTTCTTAGTGCCCTGGGTAATGATCGAAACCATTTTATCCGACTGGAGGTTGTGAATAGGAGGATCGAACGGTCGATTACAGGCAACGCTATCACGAAGCGCAAATCCCACGACATAAGCCAAGGCAACCATGAAATAACAACCGGACAGAAAGATGATGGGACGTTCAGGGTAACGAAACCGGGTCATGTCGATTAAAAAAGTAAGCACTGTGAAAAGAGTGGACGCCATGCACACAGCCGAACAGATTCCGATCCACATGCGAGCAAAATCACGTTTGTCTGGTGTGAAGAACATGTCATTACAAGGTGCACCGCAGTCTCTTTCCAGCGAATCACCAACTTTAAGGCGGTAGTCGAGGGTTTTGGGGACGCGAAACTCCACAGGGCAATGGAAGCCACTCGAATTGGTGTTGGGTTGAAAGTAGTCACGGCCGACCGGGCGCGCTTGGGTGGGACGGTTGTAGCGGTCGTGGGGGGTGGGCGGTGGAGTCGGATCTGTGATGTTCTCCCCGACGCACAGACCCGACCGTGGAAATTTTTCACATCGCAGCGATTCTGGCCATTCAAAGCCGAATCGGTTCATGAGTTTTTCGCAGCCTTCTCGGGCTTGCTGACACATCTGTTGACACGGAGGGATTGCATGATCCAGCAGGGTACACACGGGTGCATACATGGAACAGAGAAAGAATCGGAGGTAGGGACTACACTCCACTTTTACTAATGGATAAAACTGATGCACCTCCAAGCCGGCATCGTCCTGTTTTTGATGGTTGAGAATATTCGGTAAGATGGTCATGTTATATTGAATCCCTTTGCAGAGAGGAATTGTGATGGGTTCGCATTTACCATGCGTAGGTAAACCCTGGTGATTGTTAACTCGACGACTTATTGAGGATTGAGAAGCAGCTAGTAAAAAACCTTGATGGTAGAGGATAGAACACAAAAAGATGAACCCGATTATGAAATTGCGTAATTCCTTCAACATGATGATATTTTTCGTGGTTTAAATTAAAATAAAATGATTGAAACGAACAGATGTGTTTTTGTTTTCTTGAAGAAGAATTAAGTATATATATATATATATATATTTTAACTGAATGCCTGTGTTGGACAAAATCGGGTTTAGTTGGATTCTATATCATTGACCTTGATGGCAGGGGATAAGAATGACTGGTGGTTGGTGTATTTCTGTATGGGAAAATGAGGGAAGTTACAGCAGATACTTTTGTTTAATCAGACAGCAGGGACAGTTTTGTTTTTTTGTTTTTAAATCTTTTTCTTTTTGTATAGAGGAAAAATGATAATGGAGTTAATTTTCTTTCGTTTTACTTTAAAAAAAAACTGATATATACATAAATATATAGATATATATATATATATATATATTTAAATATTCCGGAAAACGAAAGAGAGAGAGACGGAAAGAGTGAAGGATTCTGGGTTGGGACAACGTCTTAGGGAAGAAATTTTCTCACTTTCTAGTCCCTTATTTATTTTTGGAATTAACACGTCCCCCCTTCACCTTCCTTCTCTCTCTCTTTCCGACTTTTTATTCCTTGTTTTTGATACGTTCTGCCTGGTTGGATATGCTCGTGTTTAAGATATATATTTTCTCTTTTTTTTTTCTTTCTTTTCGATTATATTTTTTAAAGGCTTCTCTTAATAACCCGTTATTACTAACACGGTCACAGACTGTGTTGTAGTAATATTTGTAATTGTTTTTTAATCCCAACTGAAAACATTAGGCTAAATATATTCTTAAAACACTTGTTCAAAAAAAGCAGATCCCACTAGAAATCAAAATGGATTGTTTGTTTGATTCTATAATAATAAAAGCATTATTGGTACTCTATTGACGATCTATGTATCGTTCTAAGAATATAAGTAAGTATCATTGATCACATTTGTATGTTAAAGGTTTTATCTGTTTCTGCAGTTGTATTATTTTAAATTGGTGTTTTTTTAAACTTCCCATGCAAAAAAGCTTTGTTGCTGCAAATTTCAAGAGTAAAAAAAGGGTAAATAGTATACGATAGATTATGTCGATTTAGTAAAAATGTGTGTGTGTGTGTGTGTGTGTATGTGTGTGTGATGTGTCTTTATTGAGGTAATGAAGTCCACGTTCTGAATCCAGTCGTTTCTCGTCGGTAAATCTTTTCTTCGTTCGAGCACAAGATGGCGGATTTAAATTCCTGGCTCTTTTGTTTTCATAAGTTCGTCCAATCACTGCAATGAGAGAAGAAAGAATTGTTTGTCAATAAACAATGATTCGTACAAAGTAGGTGGAATATAGACACAAAAAGAGACAATTAAAAAACAATATATTATTAGGTTGGTGCAAAAATAATGACGTAATAATGTCGTTTTTGACGTTAAAAATACGTTAAAAAACGACATTATTACGTCATTACTTTTGCACCAACCTAATACCTCTGTCCCATAGTAACAGATACATTTAGTGTATGGAATGTGCATGCAAATTCAACAATTTTTATGGGACAGCAGAAGCAAATAATTACTACATTGGTCCCATAATAACTAATACATTTATTGTATAAAAATGTCTACGCAAATGCAACAATTACGAGACGGGAAAACTAAGTATACAAACTCCTGTAATCTATGATAGTTGTAATTTTATGAGGAAATATTAACAGTTTTGTTGAGTTTTATATTTTCTTTTTAATTTCAGTTGTTTTTCATCTCCGCTATTCAGACTTCAACCACGGCGGCCATCTTTGTTTTTATTTCCAATACACATTGTCTGCTAATGGCTATCAACCGATAATCTGAATATTTGCAATGAGAAGCAACTACAAATTAGCATAAAATAAATACGAATAAAAATGATTCGGAATCTTTTAATAGACAGACTATTTGTATTTTCAATCTTATTTTTTCTAATAAATTCTCGTCGAAAATCTGAGGCCGTTTATCATTATCATCAAAACTGTTTCGAGTTGAGGTCATGAATTAACATGTTCTCTCATTTTTAGTGAAATTGTATACTGATTCGACAATTATTTTGACAGCTTTCCCTATCCCCTGCCAGTTTTGTTGCAGATCTTTGATTGTAAACTTCTCAAAAAAAAAAAAAGTGGCATCTTTCTGCCTTGTTCTTTGAATATCTCGGTTCAGCGTTTAACTATGGTGGTCCTTGGATGACCTCTGAACCTTTTCAAGTCAGTCATTTCAAAGTAAAATTCCATTATTTTTTTAGTTGGGCATTCTAGATCCATTCTGTTTGTTGACAGTCGTATGCTTTTTTTTTTCTTGAACCGTGAGCTTTATTGAAGACACACGGTCTGATACTTTCCAACATCGATGTACATTACTGCTCCATTTAATGTTGACAACAAATCCATTTTCATAATGTTTGCATTCTGTTTGTAAGCATATCAGCTGGTGTTTGTTTTTGCCGATGTCACTGTTCAGTCCAGGTCTAATTTTTCATTTTCCGAAAATTGTCTTTCTCAGTATGCAACGTCTTAAATAAGTAGTTACTGCGTAGGAGGAACTGGAGCAGCCATTACCTACTCCGCCAATGATCAGTGTACAAACATCAATTAAACAGCAGCTTCTGATCGGTTTTGAACTTGTATGCCGTAACCTTGGAACCCTGTCTTACACGAACAATGCATTGCTGATTAGGCTTCAACAGACAAAACATAGAATCTAACTACTAAAGTCATCAATTTCAAATCTATTCATTTGTACCCACTTCTTAAAATAACGATCAGCATTCATATTTATGATTGTTATTGCAATATTTTGTTAAAATTGTTAAGCCCAAATATTCAAAGATGCGTTAGGGGAATTTTTACGGATATTTTATTGTCATAGAACTTGCCATGAGCTTACTAAATCATTAACTGAAGAATTAAGATTCATCAGAATACAGGGGAACCTCGATTCTCGAATGTCTCGTATGTCGAAAAAATCGGTTTTCGAACAGGAAATTTGAGATGTAAATTCCTCGGTTATCGAACAAAATTTTGGTTCTCGAACATTGCCGAACCAAGTTAACCCGAACGGAATCATTTCTGAAGTCGACCGCCGTGTTGTACACATTCGTGTGTTGTGGCGTGCTTTTCTTTTTCAATTTTATTGTACTGTGACTTTTTTTCTCTACATTGATTCCTAATGGAAAAATAGTTTCGGTTTACGAACATTTCGGGTAACGAACGGCCTTTAGGAACGAATTAAATTCGTGAAGCGACGTTCAACTGTATTAAAATAAGAAAACTGAAATCTTCACGGGTTAAAATT